GTTGTCATTATTCTTTTTTCCTTTTTGTGGATGTCTTGGAGCAATAGTAAAGTTGTCTCCGTGTGACCTATATGTCACAGGTTCGAGTGGCTGAAGCAATCACTAATGCTTGCATTAGGGTAGATTGTCTACATCACACCCCTTGAGGTGCGTCCCTTCCGCGGACCCTATGTGATGGGGATATCTTGTGTACCGGTACCGGACTGCCTCTTTTTTTCTTTTCTGGCTGTCAAATTTTGTCCCAGAGAAATATCTTCAATGCTGTGTTGCATACTTCTTGGATGGAGAGGGATATGTTTATTTCTGTAAACTTTAAAGTGACAAATTGATACCATTTGATTGAAATATGTGAGCATGGTTTATTTGCTATTGCACCAATGGAGCTTCTTGATTTAGAAATTGCTTGCTACTTGTGATTTAACTTTTATGATTGAAAGTCTCAATCACCAAATTTTAAAATATAAAGTGGACGTGTTTGATAAAAAATAGATCAATTCTAATATTAAGTTATAGCTAACAATTAATTTAATTAGAAGAAGACTAGGGATGTGAAGATAGTTTTGTTTGTAATGTGTCTCATTTGTTTTACTACTGTAGTCCTTTATTCTGTCTGATTTTGATAGTAGGAGCAAAACTTATAATACTAGTATTTAGGTAGGCTCGTATCTCGAGTTCATAATTCAAATAATCACTTAACTAATAAAAATTATTTAGTAAAGTCATGTTTATTTTATTTATAACTAAAAAGTCACTTAGCTTATGCCTATTTCCTAAACTTTCGGTAGTTAAATAACTACTATTATTTAAGTGACCACTCAACTATTCGAATTAACATAGTAGGCGTTTGGATATAAGAATTGTAAAATTTTGGGAAAGGGTGAAAAAAATCCAAGTGAAACTGGTAACAACAACAACAACAACAAATCAGTATAATCTCACTTAGTGGGATCTGAGGAGGGTAGTGTGTACCCAGACCTTACCCCTACCCTGGGGTAGACAGGCTGTTTCCAAGTGAAAATGGTAACACAACACTAGAATTGTGTTTGGACATGAATATAATTTTGAGTTGTTCTTGAATCTTTGTGAGTGATCTAAAGCGAAAATTTTGAAAATAGCTTTTTGGAGTTATTTTTACCCTCTTGACCAAATAAAAAATTTCACGGCCAAACACTGATTTCGAAGAAAGTGAAAAAAAATTCAAAAAAAAGAAATCTCTTTTTTATGGCCAAACGGGCTAGTAAATTTATGTTTATTTTGTTTGTAAATCAAAAGTCACTTAATTATGTATATTACATTCAAAAAATCACTCAACTAGATTTTTCTGAATGGTAGTCAATTACCTATTTTACCCTCCAACTAGTTCGCTATTGACGGTTGTTCCTGTTGTTTATTTTTGTTATTGTGCTGAGGAAATCAGGAAAATATTTATGGTGTTTATTTGTAAGATTAAACTAGTATTAGTACCCGCGCGATGCGCTGACACAAATCATCTCGGATTGATTTGGATTATTTGAATTATGTATAAATAACTTTAAATTATAAACCTTCCAGATAAAATTTATAGATAATCATTAGATATTAATTTAAATAAGTTTTATCATTTTTCTTTATGATGAAAGTTTTGATTAATTTCTCTCTATTTATTCCTTATTTTTGCTATTCTATTATTCAATACATAATATTATTACATTATTATATGGCTTTCATTAGCTTGTTTATTTAATATCTATCTCTACCACACCCATTTTAGTATTAATCATAAAAGTTAATTTCTTATTTGTTTGAACACATTATATCTAGTGATAATATTTTCACTACCATTTATTTCTTTATGTACTATTTCTAAAAATAATAAAATTATGAAATGAAAGAATACAAATCAAATGGTTAGTGAATAATTATATTTGGAAAGTTATCAAAATTTATTTACTATAATAATGTGAGTCAATTTTAATTAATTTCTACATAAATTAAATATGATCAAATCTAAGTTGTTTTAATCCTTATTAAATTTGTCTAAAATCTATTTAGATTATGTCTTAAAAATGCTAAGTGACATTTTTTGAATATGCACTTGGCTTAATGTCATGCCTCACTACCTTCCTTTCAATATAATATATATAGAAGATATAAATATTTAAATTTTTTTATCTTATAAATAATTGTATACTTTATGTAAGATCTTATTTTACTGCGTGAATTTTTTAATTTTTGAAGTCAATAAATCTTTAATATCTTAAGTAAATTTTAGTTTTATTTTATATTTTAACTTACTTCAAAGTATAAATAGTCATAGGTTATCTTAATTTACGTCTTTTTATATTTTTATATTTTTTTCTATTATAGTTTTTTAATTACTTTTTTACCTCCTTATTTCTAGCTAATTTAGAAGAAAATCTATGAGTGGATCAATATATATATATATATATATATAAAGAGAGAGATTAGATTTGTCTAAGATATATTTAGATTATGTTTCCATTTATAATTTTTAATAATTAATGTTGTCCTATAATTGCCAAGTGGCTTCATTTTAGCTTGCCACTTGGATTAACCACAATGCATACTACTCTCCTTTTAATATAATACTAGTATTAGAACCCGCGCGATGCGCGGATGGTACTTTTGAAGCATTACCCTCCAGCAACTTTAAGTGTAATCCCCTTTTAAATCTTCACAATTGGACTAATAGTTAGTGTTGCATGTAATGAGCAATCCTTCCTCATTTAAAGACACTGACATAATTATCAAGCTATCAAATACCTCATTGTGTATTTCATGGAAATAAAAACATTTTATAGCTATCAGAATTCCAAAGCAAAACATTTTAGATTCTAATTGCAATCTCACTTTTTAAATTTATTTTATTTCCATTTCGTTTTTCTTTTGCTCGATGTAAAAAGGGTTCCACATGCATATTCACGTACAAAACGGTGGATACTTTTTAATGAATAGACTTTTGATTCAAGTTATACTATATAAAATACTCATGTCAGCAGCAAAATATCAGTAAAAAGGTTTGAGAACAAAATCAAATAGCAGAACACCATCAAAAAATAACTTTATGAAGCCAGTATCAAAATGAGGAGCTTGTACAATAGCACATTGAGAATCCTGACATAATGTTCCACTAAGCAGATAATAAAGGGAAGTATTTGGGGCATCTTTATATAATGGAAAAAGTATGTCACTACAACCATTTGTCACTAACTGAGTGCTGATAATCTAACCAAGAGTATTAGCCACAATTTTGCATTAACGCCACAATTACTGTGTGTCAACACTTCATGTAAAAATAAATAATCATTACTTACAAAGCTAAATATTCCCAATAATAATTGTGGAACTGAAATAGCACCAAATTGGGCTTATGCTAATGCTGAAAACATGGGAGATACTAATGCTGCCAATGGGAATTTCAATGTTACATGGGAGTTCCCAGTTGATCTGAGCTTCATATATATCAATAACTTAAATATTTGTGATATCGTGAGCAAATCCATGAATACTCTACTTTTTAACCTGTATATAAATGATAATCAAGGAACGAATAGGGTACATAGATACTGAACTACACTATCACCTTCATTCAATACTATTGGAACTCCAGTTCCATATGCACTCCATTCTCTAAAAGACTCCCATAAGTCACCAAGCACAAAGTACGACTGAAACTCCACATCACACGTCCTCCAACCAGGGGCGGAGCTAGCCCGTCGAGTATGGGTTCGGCCGAACCCAATCACTTTGGTTCAATCCATGTATTTGTCTTAAAAAATCTATTGAATATATATAAATTATTAATTTAGAACCCAGTAACTTAAAAAGATTAGAATTCCGAACCTATAAGCTTCAAATCCTAGCTCCGCCTCTGCCTCCAACCCCTCATAATGGTCTGTTACAAACAGAATAGTATTCCAGTCAAAACCTATATCTTAACAACAAAAATAGAAAAGCCTTCAACCATAACTTACACACAACAACTAAATTATCAATCATATCCAGTAAAAGATTAAAAAAGTATATCAATACAACTATTGTTCAATCAAAATCTATAATAGTAACAAACAACAGATAATCCCGACATAATGTTTCACCAAGCAGATGATAAAGAAAATATTTGGGGCATATTTATATAATGGGAAAAGTAAAAGAAGTCTTTCTAGCAATGTAAAATAACATGAACAGTAAAAATAATTGAGAGTGCAACATAGCTTTAAGAGTTTTACATGGTTAAGTATTTTGCTTATACTTAGCGCTAACAGAAGTTAACACACATTGGAGCTTCACGGTAGTTCTCCACAGAGAAACTATTGAATTAGGCTATTTTTGAATTTCTCCCATATTTTTATTCCTCCATTCCCGAGGCTCGAACCCGAGAACTCGTAAGAGAATCTCATCCATCCTACCACATCTCTAGTGATTTGTAAATTTCAAATGTAACACTTGTAGTCATACTTCACCAATTTTTCTATTTCTCTTAAAGAGGAAATCTCATGGAGTCTATGCTTTCTTATATAGGTTTCTTAGTCCTATTTTTTCATTAAAGCATGTATGTATTCTAGTGAACGATAGAATTCACCCTTTAATAGCAAAAAAAAAAAGGAATTATAAACTAAGGAAAAAAACAGAAGGAATATCCACATCATGGAGAATTTTCGTTTCATGTGAGCTAGTTGCTAAAGTTCTGTTTGAATGGAATTCACTTCTCTTATACATAGATTTAGTACTTCTCAACCCCCTAACAGAAGAAAATGTAATAACTCAAAAATTGCACTTATGAAGATATCTTGATATCCTCTATTGTGTTGCTGAACCTAGTTTCATCTCCCCCCGCCAAATAACAGTGACATATATATTTATTGGAAAAGAAAATAGTAAATACCTGATAATTCCATCATGTCTAGATTCATCTCAAACCAAATTACGGAAAACTTCTTTATACACCACATTTCTAGCTTCATTTGTTATTTGGCCATCATCATCATAAACTAAAATCTTCAACCCTTTCTACTCGTCACGCGTGAAAGAGCAACATACGGTTGTCCATGAGTAAATACTGGCTTCTTCAAAAATAATCCCACATGAGACAACGACTGACCTTGACTTTTATTAATTGTCATGGCAAAAGATACAACAATTGGAAATTGTCTTTGCTGGAACTTAAAAGGTATTCTTGCATCTGATGGCGTCAACGTCATTCTTGGGATAAACACTTTTTGTCCAGCCATATTACCCGATAAAACCTTGGCTTCAATAACTCGATTTCCAAGTCTTGTGATGATCAACTTCGTGCCATTACACAATCCTGATGACTGGTCTATATTTCTCAGCAACATCATAGGAACACCAACCTTCAAAGTAATAGAGTGATTTGGAATTCCAGAATATTTAATACTGTTTAGGAATTCGGGTGTATGTACGTGCTCCAAAGCTGAAAAAGAATGATCAGATATACAGACTGTATCAGAACTCAAATATGTCTTCGCAGGACTATGATTGAGTGAAACCATATATTCATTGATCGACTCCACCATATCAAGAGTCGAAGCAAGAATTGCTCTTTGTTGAAGGTAATCAATGTCACTGGAATGATTAAAGAAATCTGGATATGTACTTTCAACAATTGCCGATATTGGATCATCACAATTATTTATGAGAAGATCACCTGGGATTTGGACTTTCTCAATGCCATCAATGGAACTCCCAATCCTTCCATCACCGATTGCTAAAATCCATTTAGAATTTTTTTTAACTCATCCAAATGTGCATCTAACTGATCTCTTTGTAACCTCATATTCTTTGTTAGATTTAAGACTTCACAGTGGGCCTTCAAATACGAAGAATTAAGAGTAGTGTTAACAATATCTTGCCTAGATCCTTTTGCAATGACAGACAAAATTTGTCTGAAGTCGCCACCAAGAACAACTGTTTTACCTCCAAAAGGTTTATCAGCACTGGATGTGTCTTTAAATCTAAGAATATCTCTAAGAGTTTGATCAAGAGCTTCAAAACAATATTTATGCATCATTGGTGCCTCATCCCAAATAATCAACTTTGTCTTTATAATCAAATTTGCTAGAGGACTACCTTGCTTTATATTGCATGTTGAATCTTCGTTTGGATTAAGAGGGATTGCAAATCTCGAATGAGCTGTTCTACCACCTGGTAACAAAAGAGATGCAATTCCACTGATGCAACAGTTAACACGATGTCTCCTCTAGATCGTATGCCAGAAGACAGAGTCTTCCAAATAAAAGTCTTTCCAGTTCCTCCATAACCATACAAAAAGAAGAATCCACCTTTGGCTTCATTCACTGCCCTCATAATTTTGTCATAAACCGACTTTTGTTCAACTGTCAAATTCATTAATAATTGTTGATGTTCCTCTAACAGAGAACGACGATTATAACGCAATTCATCATGGATTAACCTATTACTATGGTCAACTTCTTCCTCATTGTAAAGAGGTCTTGGCATTGTTGGAAAATCATGAAAACTTCTTCCACAGCTTTTCAAAACTTTTTCTAACTTTTTTAAACAACGATTTTTCAATTCATCATTTGTTAGCTCTGCTTCTGAAACAACAAAAAGAATTATAGAATTTAAATAACAATAATATAAAAAATATATTACATGATTACACAAATAAGGTACATTTAATTTAGCTTTTTAGTTAGGTTAGTCACCACCATAATAATGATTTGTACAACAAAGAACTTATGAATGCTATGTCGTGAAACTCCATATTATCTTAAACATAAAGGTTATAAATGAAAGAATATCAATTATAAAGAATTAAGTACAAACATATATGATATGAGCAAGATTGCTGGAATGATTTTTTCGCTAGAATTTGTGTAGATTAGTTTCCTCTTTATAAGTATATATTTTTATTATATACAGTTGAATAATCTATTTATATTCTCGTATGCATACTGAAATTATGTAAAAAAAATCATAACTGAAAATATAAGTTTGAACATACCTGGATTATCCAGTAAGACTCTTTCTTCATGGAGGATATCTTCTGATAATAATTGCCAAGTTGCTTGCCAAACATTTTCTGGTCGTGACATCGAATTCGATAACAACAACATAGAAAATAATTGCCTAAGATACGATGGCATACCCCAACTACTTGCCTCCTTTATGCAATCCACATATTCTTTGTCATCATCAATTAAACCAAGTGCAAAACATGCTTCTCTAAATGTATGATGATCATGATTGTTGATTCTTTTAAGATCTTCATAACATTTTGGGCCTTTAATGACATTCAACAACAACCTGAGGTAGTATAGCTCGCCAGTTCCAGGCGGAACAAAGAAAATCCTTCCAATTGAAAATGCAGAAGTTTTTCTTTTCTCCCATCTTTTCAACTTTGGTTTCCACACAAACTTAAGGGGAAATTCTGCGTAAGTTAGTTCTCTTGCTTCAGAAGATGTTTTATTTGTCTCAAACCAACTTAAAAACATCGATTCCCTTACAGTGGGTCTATTGGCAACATCATCAATCGGATCATCATCAGAGAATATGACATGTTGTTCATTTGGAAGATGAAATGATAGTCTTTCCACATAAGGTTGTCTATAGTGTATAGGAAACTCGAATATTCTCCAAGCAGCTTCGCAGGGTGATATGTATCGGCAATCACAGTACATATATTAATTGCATCAACAACCGATGAACCCTCCTCTTGCACACTTCTAGAAAAAGCGCGTAGCACGATCATTTCCTTTGTAACATATTTAAATAAGTACTTAATTGACCTCGATTGATTGCACCACTCCACATTGATGTGAGCACCATTATATTCAATAATAAGAAACGATTGTGCGGCACCACATACCTGTTGTCCAAGTCAATACCATCCTTCTTGATAGTTCTTCCACTATCCCTTCTCCTATAATAGGATAACCATCTTCATCAATTTGTGGTTGACTTAGTAAAACTTTTTTGGAAAAATGCTTTGTACACTCCCATTCTGCATGCAAGGGGAATTTTTCTGGCAGAACCACATGGGCCGTGCATCATGAAACTTTTCACGGCCCTATAATAATGAGGTCAATTGTTTCATCTGGAAATTTCTGCTGTTATGTCACAACCCAATTCCCACCCGGTCGTGAATGGCGCCTCTCATGAAGATAAGGACAGCCAAAGGAACAGTCAACACTGCTTTTAACAATTTCTTAGCATTAAACAGGTTTAAACCATAGATACTGAATAATCATAAGTGCGGAAATAAACGTAACATAACGGGGAAAAAACCATCCCAAACTCAGCCCGATGATCGGGGTGTCACAAGTCACGAGTACTACAGAGTTGATGAAAATACTACAAGTCTGGAAACATAGTCTGAAGATGATAATTATGCAGAAGATAAGGAAGAAACGGGGTTGTGGACATCGACAACTACCTCGTCTCTCTTAGTCCGCCTGGTCTGGAAGGAAATCAGCTCAGGTAGAGACTCAGCTGTGCCTGTCTCTGCACACATGGTCAGGAGTATGTGAGTACTCCGACCCAGTGAGTAATAAAAATAAAATACACCTGAGAACATAAAATCCACACGGCACAAATAATGCTATCTCAAGCAGCATCATCAGATAACATTAGAAACCAGTGAATATAGTAAGAAAATCTTTTTGAAAACAGTTAAAGATCAATCATACTCAACCAGTACGTCAGCCATTGTTACCTGACAAACGCGTATTACAGTGCCATTGTTACCACTGTTCAATATTTAATCACTCTAGAGGGGCACCCGCGCTCACTGTGGGTGTGCAGACTCCGGAGGGGCTCCTACAACCCAAGCGCTATCTACAAGGCTGAGGCCTGAACAATATCAAACGAGGCCTGAAAGCCTGCTCAAATGCACTCGAGGCCTGAAAAGCCTCCTCACCTCACTCATCATGCCCTCACATAAAGGCCCTGGCCTCAATCAAGTCCAAAAATAGTCACACAGACCCCTCGCGGGCAACATGTAAAACAAATAATACTTAGCTCAAACAATAGTTCACAATATCAGTATATAAACTCCAAGTTTGAGTAAATATGGCTGAGTTCAAGAAACAGTGTAAATCACATGGACTGAGTACAAATAATATTTCAAACAGTGAGGAAAACAGTGAGTGATAGTTCATAAAGAGTTCAAATAGTCGGCAATAAAAGCCCCCAAAAAATATGCAATAAGCCCAAATCATAGTGAAAACAACAAGTCATTGCTAAATACGCGGTAAAATATCACCCGGACTGGACCAGTCACAGTCCCCAATAGTAAATGACCGCGCGCTCGTCATGGAACGCGTGTCTCATCTCAACATAGCACCCAAGTTGTGCAAATCTGGGGTTTCAAACCTCAGGACGTCATTTCAAAATCATTACTCACCTCTAGCCAGCCAAAGTCTAGCTCGCTATGCCTTTTCCCCTCGAATCGACCTCCTTCGCGCGTCGAATCTGATCAAAACCACAAGGAATACGTCACTTAGGCTAATGGATCATAACCCAATCAAAAAGACTCGAAAATTATCAAAAATCACGAACGTTGGCAAAACCCGAGCCCCGTCCCACTTCTCGAAAAATTACAAAATTCACATCATAAGATTCCTCGTCTCCACGAGTCCATACATATCAAATTTACCAAAATCGGAGTTCAAATGCCCTTTCAAATCCCAAATTTTCATTCCAAAAACCAAGCCCTAGTTCTTCCAATTTTTACCCAAATTTCCAAGAATTAAAGGTTGATTCTTCAAAAAAAAAATGGCGTTTCTAGGTCACTAGACTTACCTCCAAATCAATTCCCGTCAAAATCCTCTTCAATTTCTACCAGAAAGCTCTTAAGGTGGTTAACAATGGAGGAAAAAATGAATAGGCTCGCGGATGAAATAATCAATTAAAAACCTCTTGCCCAGGTGTTTTTAACCCTATGCGATCGCGACCCTAGGCATGCGATAGCGATGAACAAATTCTCAGGGATTCAAAAACGTTCTATGCGAGCGCAACAGGAGCTATGCGATCGCGCTTAACAATTTTCCAAACCTACGCGAACGCGTCCAATTTTATGCGAACGCGTAGGATAAAAACATGCTGCCCCCAAAATCCTCTTATACGAATGCGGGATGTACCATGCGATCGCGTAGCTTTACCTCCCAGTACTATGTCGCGCACTCAATGGATGCGATCGCATAGGCCAATTTTTCCTTCTGCAAACATCTGCTGAAAACCTGCAAACTGTTCAATAGCTAAAACTTGGTCCGTTTGACCACCCGAAATCATCTCGAGGCCCCCGGGACCTCAACCAAAAGCATCAACACATCCTAAAACGTTATTCAAACTTGCTCCAATCTTCAAACACATCAAACAACGCTAAAACCATTAAATCACATCGGATTCAAGCCTAAGTTTCTTCAGAACTTCCGAAATACGCATTTGATCAAAAACCCAACCAAAACATCTCGAATGACCTGAAATTTTGCACACACATCCAAAATCACCTAAACGGAACTACTGCAACTCTCGAAATTCCATTCCGACCCCCGGATCAAAATCTCACCCACCCACCGGATTCGCCAAAATACTAACTTCGCCAATTCAAGCCTAATTCCACACCGGACCTCCAAAATCACTTCCCATCACGCTCTTAAGTCAAATCATCCCCCAAAAGCTAACCGAATCACCGGAAATCGCATCCGAGCCCTCTAACTCAATAGTCAACTTCCGGTTTGACGTTTTTCCAAAACAAGCTTTCCTTAAAGAGACTAAGTCTCCATTTCCATCTAAAACCAATCCAATTCAACTCGATCACCTCAATAACGATAATGAAGCATAGCAGAAATCAAATATGGGAAAAAGAGGGCGGTAACTCACGTGACGATGAGACCGGGTCGTCACATGTTATTTTGATTCCAATATCAGCGGGTAGTTGAATATTTGTTTATGCTCAATGAAGAAGGCAATATATGAGCATGAGGCAACCCCTCGCTTTTGGACTCAATAGTATAAATCACTGCATGAAGAAGCAAATAGAATTTATTGGATAAATAAACAGTTTTTAATCTATATTAAGAAATTTTCCATGGAAAATCAGGCATATTGTTTTAAATTATTACTTCAAAAGTTTATATATCATCACCTTTTACTGCCTCCATTTGTTGTTCTCGCAAGTCCTTTATCAAGCGATCCAATTTGATTTTAAATACCCTAACTTAAGATGTCTGCGACGATCCTCAAGATTTAAGCCTCTCGTTACATTGTCTCAGAATCTCGGGCCACTTCGGATGTGAAGTTGAAAGTGATAAAAAGATCAGGTACCCAGCCCATTTGCATATCGCCATAGCATCTTGATAATTTTGAAGCATGTATCGTGCACCACCTCGTGAGTTTGACGGTAGAATAATTCTCTTCCCTTGAGTGTAGTTCTCCATTCAAAACGGCTTCTTCTAATCTTTACATACATCGCAAACTCTCAAATTGTTTTTGATGAGTCCTATAATACTCTCAATCGACCAGATTCAATCATTGTATATGCCCATCAACTAAGAATTGCCGGAAATAATCTTCTTGCAGAACAATTGTTGGAACTTCACCCTCCTTTCTATCTTGAACTTTTGTACGCAAAAAATTCTCTCATGCCAACACATTTCTCTCCTACAGTTGGTTCACCTTCATTTAAGGAATTGCCTCTCTTGTATCCATCTTCACCGTATGGAAAAAGTAAAGGATATTGGGACCAAAAATATGCAGCATATCAATTCATTTATCCTCTCTGCAGTTGTTCGGATTGGGTTTCAATATTTGATATTCTCATCACACATAGATAGTTCAAAATCTCCAACCACTAAAGTAGCTACCTCTGAAACGGTCGGTAAGTTGTATCTTCTTCATCTGTGTTTTTTCCCTATCAATCTGAGCCTAACATTGGAGCTTCCATCTTCTTGAAACTATCCCTTACCATTCTAAATGTCTTAGCCAAAATATTATGTCCATCAAGCATTTCTTCAGATCAGCAACAATCTCGGCATGAAGTTTGTTTAGGTGTTGACCATGACTGAGAAAAAATTATATATGAGAATTTATATATATTTTCCTAGGATGTACAATATTATTTATTTAATTAATTCTAAAAATTAATACTAACCTCACAGCATTCTATTTTTGTACTTCATTCCGTATCGTAAAATGTACAGTTGCGCAAATTTTGGGGTAGATCCCACACGGAGGCAATAAACTTCCTATCTGATGATAATTCTGGCCAAATAACTTGAATGTTCTTGGTCCACGCGTTTGATTGAATTGAGACATCGACCTTTCCTCCCATTGAAGTAAATGGAACATAGAGTTTAACTCCTAACATTATCTCGGAAATGGTCACTTTTAGGACCTACGTATTTATAGAAAGAGGTGAAGAATGATGAACATACATATGAAAGGTAGATTACCGTGGTAACAAAAGTTACGAAATAGAGTTTTTCAACTAACCTGATCCAAACAGCAAATGCTTTAAAACTTGAGGAGGCTCTTTAGTATTTGAGAGCTTTATTTTTCCACGACCACAACACAAAGAGAAACTCCGGTTTTTTAGATTTATAGTGCTTGTTGCTTCTTTCTTCGTACCAAAATATGTCCCACATTTTTCACATTCCATAAGTAGCATCTCCTATATCCC